GGACAGCCAGACCTCTCATCAGGCTTTTCCACCAGCCTCCCCCCTGCCTGCTGCGCCCACGGCAGCGGCACGGCTCAGCCACGGCTCAGCGATACCCCTCTCCCCCTCTGACTCCACGTCAACTCTCCGGCTGACGTGGTTCATTCCCCAGAGCCCTGCTGCCCCACGCCGGGAGCTGGGGGGCGGGAACAGCCCTCCCCTCCAACACGGCCACCTGCACCTCCTGCCCCGAGGCTCGGCATCTTCCCCACAGGTTTGGAGGGCAGCAGGAGTAGGCTGCACTTCACCTTCTGGGGTATACAGCCAAGACTTCCCGAAAATTACGCCAGTATCAGTAAATTCTGCCGGAATTTGTACACAAAGGGACTTCAGCAGCCTCCCTGCTTGAAGTTAAATGCATCTATTGATCTTTTTGCAAGATCACAGCTCAGAAGCGTGATTTAACAAGACCTTCCTTCCCAACGCTGAGGAACCACATCGATGCAGAAATCGGAAGACACTGCAACAGGCCATTTCTCTTACAGAACACAATTTATTTGGCATTTGGATGAAATGTTTCTCACAGCATCTTGAGAAAAAAAGAAAGATTAGTGTCAACCCCAAAGAAAGAAGTTAAAACAAAAAACCAGCGTCACAGGGACTGAATTATTATAGTATCAAATTTAAATTCTACATGGTATTTCACAGAATATCAAAATCTTTTATACACTGCCACAGTTAAGTCCAGTCACAAACCAACTACACAGGAGAAGACTGCAAATGCAGCGTCGGCCAATATTATTTTCCAGAAGGTAAAAATCAGTGTCTCATTCTGTCTTGCAGCCTCCCAGGCATCCGCCAGCCCGACACTCGGGGTACGGCGCAGCACGGCCACGCAGGCAGCCTGCAAGCACAGCATCCCCGCTGGCATCGACTCCAACCCACTCAACGTTCAAGGTGCACAATACCGGAAAATTAAAGCTATGTCGTACCGCAGCAGGCAGGTAATGCAGGCTGTTGTTAGGGGAAGCAAATCTGTACTGCTGCAAGCATCTGTTCCAAAGAAATGGGGTTTCATTTGGAACTGGGGAACGTCCAAAGCAAAACATATGAACTTTGATTTGCCTCCTCTACACTAATCTGCTCTAATTTTAGGGTCCATCTCCCAACTTGCAAGGGAAATTTAAAAGACATTTCTGTATATTGCATGTTCCTTAGCTAGGGAGAAAAAAAAAAAATGTTTCAGCAACTGGAAAAAAACCCAAAACAAAACACGTGCTATGGATTGTGTCAGGCAACATGAAAACTCCAATGCTTTGCCACTGAAATTCCACATCTGAAAGATAAAAACATCTTTAAAAACAGGTTCAAATTAACATTAGATGGGAAAAGAACAGTAATTACTGGTCACAAAAACATTTTCTTCTCAAGTGAAACTCGAGAGACAAATGAACAGGCCATCACCCCCTGACACCTGTGGAGGCAGAGCACTTGCTGGCTGTTAATATTAAGCCTTCAGAAAACATTTTCCACCTACTTCATTCTTCTTCTAGATCAGTGCCCTGCCATGAATGGGTAAAGGAATAGTCTGAGGCTCAAAACTAGACAAGACTGAACATTAAGCAGACAAGCTCTTTGTACAGTTTGAATGACTTTGTACAGCTCTTTGAATGACAGTTTTGATCTTCTAGCACAGAATGAAACCCACCGTCCTTCTAACATTACAATACTCTACAACTCACCTAGTAAAAAAATTAGAGGCTGCTGTGAGACTGTGTATGGATATCACCGATAACACCGACAGAAGTGAGTATCTAGGGCTGTTCTTGAAGGAGCAGCAGAGACCTCGATACCGCACCACAGTACGTCGTAAGGATGGGGAATCTGAGGAGCGGTTTTGTCCGAGGCCACGACGGGAGGTGCAAGCCCTGCACAGAACCGAGTGCTGTGACTTTACGACGACTGCGGTCAAAGACATGCCAAGAGAAACATGCTCTCTGCTCACGTGTGCTGCTGGGAAAGATGTGGTAATGCCATCTCCCCCGCTGGGTCTGGAAGGCCATTTGGGATGCATCAATAGTTAAGAAAAACATCCAGAGAAGTGAATGGTGGTGGTGGGGAAAAAAAGAAAAAAAAAGTCAACACACAAAATAACTCCACAGATCTCACCAATCTAATGGCAATCAAAACAAAAAGGTCTTCCCTGGGCAAGCATCAACCCTCTGTAGCTGGTGCTCAGGACACACTGCTTACCAGTCACCATGCCAAGGGCAAGGAAGGTTTGCTGAGGAGTCAACTGCCGTCAACAAAACTTAATTCTTCCCCTGTTGGTCCAGAAGTTTGAGTAGTTGTGATGTTTTCTGCTACAAAGGCTCTTACTCCAAGAGAAAGCACTCAATGTGAAAAAGCTACATGAGAAAGGGGAAATTAAAAAAATGACAGTTTTATTGCCAAATTAGAAGCTCACCAAGAGGTAAATGAGCTGTACTTGGTGAGCTGCTCTGTTCAAGGCAAAATTTCCCTTGTTTACAGTTAAGATGAAGGAGGATAGGGGAAAACAGAGAAAATAGCAGCCTCCGTGCCAATATGCAAGTGAGAAAGGCTCAGAAGCAATAGGGAAAATATCACACAGAGGCTTCTACAAAGAAGCCTCCATTTGGAATAGCTACAACCAGGAGCCACCATGAAGTTGCCAGTTGTAACAGAGCTTATTTTCAAATAAAATTCACCACAGAACCAAAACTAAAATAAAAAAATCTAACAGATTCCTGCAGTGTTAGGAGAAGTGTGAGGTAAGGTTCACCTCAGCCACAAAACACAGCTTCAGAGACTAAACCAAGCCAAAAGGCCTTTTGTTATTGCGCTAGAATACTACAAAGAACAAATATTCCATCTGGCTTCAAAAGAAATTGGAAGTTTTCTGTTTTGTACTGCTAACAAAATATTTTTCAGGAACAGATTGTAGTAGCATAGACTTTGCATCCTACTTAAGTGTACACTATCACAGCCTGTCCTACAACAGAGTGTAGCCAGCTTGAGAGAAGTATTAACCCTAAGAGCCTAGTTTATATCCCAGTGCTTAGCTTTACCTAGCTGGACACAGCACAAAGGTTACCGTCTACAGTATGTATGTATATATATATATATAACCACCCAGAAACACACACACACACACACACGCATTCGTACCTATAAAACTAAAGAAAAATCAGTACATACAATGTATAAAACGTATGAATGTGCTCAAAAATGCACAAAACCCGCTTTATTTTCATACTTCAGAAATGCTCAATAATTTGTACGCATGGTTCTGACTACTGCTATCCATCCACTTCATTAGACCAGGACTTGAACTCAGAGGAGAAGACAGTAAGAGATCCCACAGAGTAGAGAGTTGGTCCTCTTATTTCGTACCACTGCTGTTAGAGCCAGTCAAACCAGAGAGCAAGGACGCGGGCGGTGGTACGGCTCCAGGCAGAGAGGCTTCCTAACCGTAATTCCTCCCACTCGTGTGCCAGCAGCGCACCCCAGAACTGTGATTCGTGCTCTCTGATGGACTCAAGATTGTTAGCAAAAGTGTCTGAATGTCAAGACACCAGATATGATCTCAATAACTAAACTCAGTTTTCTGTGCAAAAGGAGTTGAATTGTCCAGACCAATCCCCAAGTACAGTATAAGCCTATAGGCAAGACACAGAATAGAAAGTAGCAGCATATTCAATGGGGAAAGAGCCAGCTGCACTGGGAAACCACAACAGTGGGTTAGGATTTGTCATACAAGTATGATTTCTCATCATTACTAGAAAAATAGATAACACCTCCCCCCCCATGCAGTGTTGTCTTCCTGTCCCTCTAGGCTTGTACCCTTCATAAGGTAACAGGAGAACACTCACAAGGGGCATTTTTTACAAATTCCTTATAATTCATCTCATCTGCTGAGTGCTACAGTAAGTCAAGGCGAAGCAGAAGAGGAGGATGGGAGGAAAGGGCAAATCATTCATACACTGAAATCCAAACATAAATTTCAAATCACCTGTAAGGATTATTTTGCACTCATTATCCAAACCAACAGTGCTCAATTTTGGGCTTAGTGAGCAAGCGAATGAATCTTTTTGCCATCTCTAAATTAGCTTAAAGAGTTCAATCTGAGGGGGAAATTTAAGATGACATATCAGACTGAAGCAAACTGCTTTACTGATCCAAGTACTCTAACCTTACCATAACCTCTTGTGGGACCTGGATAAATGGTGCGGGAGACACGGGGGAAATCCCTAGATTAGGTTGGCAATTTATGGGATTCGGATAAGGAACAAGTGTCCAATTAGAATTAAACACCATGTATTGTGCGTGTTGATCACGGTTTTTAAATGGTATTTGTGGAACCGTAAGGAAGCAAAATGGAGGGGAGGGAACACACTAATTGCTAAATATAGCATGCTGTAAAAAAACCAAAACAATGGTCTTTTATCCAGGCCAGTGTTATGCAACTGTTCACCGTAAAGGAGTTAAGCTACAAAGAAAGATACCTCAATCTTCCTTACAGGATTATGACAAACGGGCTTCATATAGTGAAGTCAGACTGCATCAAAGTTAATTGCTCCCCACCTCTTCCCTCAAGTACTACCTAACACATATGAGGATTCTACCGAAGGGACACAGGCATTACACAGACCCAGGTTTCCTTATGGGCCAGAAGTTTACCCGACAATATGAGATTTTGTAGCTACCACCACCAGATAATTGTAATTGCAAATCCTAGTTTTCTTAGTACCCACTTGTCACATATTGTGTAGATCACTCATCCTCCAGTCCCTATGGTGTTCTGAAACAGCAAGGCAGATCAAAACATGCAAATGTTTTACACTGTGTAACTCTCATTTGGTGGTACGTGTTTTAGCTCCTCAGTGTTCCCACTCTGTAAAACAGGCTCCCAGTCCCTTCCCCTGCAGTTCCATCTTCTCTGCCTTTTCCAAGTGTAGCACCGAAACAAGGGAGAAAGCAATTGATTGAACGGTGATGGCCCCCACCCTCTTGTTCCGTTGTCTGTTCCCTGGGTCCAGTGGTATCCAGCCAAATCCAAGCAGCTTTTTTCTGATGTAGATTTTGTTTCCTCTCAGGTTAAGGAAAAAAAGAAGCTACCCATACTTTTCACCTCCTCAGAAGTCAAAGGAATTCTCTGCACTCTTTTCCATAACCAATGGAAAAAGAGAGTAGTTATACAATCCATATTTACAGGACAAACCAAGTAGTGAATGAATAACAACAGCCAAAAAACAAGAGGCACAATCCTAATCTAGAACATAAAAGCAGTGTTCAAAAAACAAAGTGGAGATTCCTTCTGAAGTTCAAACCACGGATTAGCGTTTGTCTGTGCAAACAGTTGCTAAAACTATTTCTGACTGGCAGTCGGCTTTTTACTCCTTTATACAATGGTATTGAGAGAACAGTGGCTGTGACGGCTGCCCGTAAGAGTTTCTGCCGGCGTGTTTTCATTTAACGGTGTGTCAGGAGGGACAAGAAAGGTGCTGCTGTCAGCAGAGTCTTCCAGCTCCACTGGAGAAGGACCAACTGAGGGCGGAAGTGATCCCTCTGTAAGCTGTGGGGACACATCACAGTTTCCTAGTGATGGAGGACTGCTTTGCACAGTCTGAGAAAGAACTCCATCTGCAAAGAACAAAACCCAAGCAGACTCAGAACATGAAGCATTTCATTTCACATTCCCAAATAGATTTACTATCTGTATTTCTGGAAGCTATGAGTTTTTCCTGGTTTTGCATTAATGCACAAAAAGATTGACATGCAAACGAGGAAAATTATGTAGCAAAAATAAAACTTCGATATATAAATAAGATACTTGCACTAATCAGGCTCACTTATCTTGTGAGATATGCTGCTATAAAATCCCAAATTGTAATGATTTCTACAGTATGCGAATATCGCAGCTGCAAAACTGAAGTGCACTGGGTGAATCATTAGAAAGTGATATTTTTGGTCAATTTTTGGGGGGTGTGGGTGGGGGAAGTGGGGAGGAGAGAAGACACTGGATATATTTTATTCAAAATCTCTTGTACTTGACATTTGTTCTACTTTTTAATACCAATCTCTATAAACCTATCTCCAGAACACCAGAAAAGGTACCAGCATAGTGGAAACTAGGTAACCAGGTAACCCATCCAAGGTAAGGCTTGAAAATAGGCAGGGTATAAGAGTTAAACTGCTTGCAGCATGGATTCCACTTGTAATTTAGGTGATCTAAATATTGGGAAAAACCAAGCTTAATGATACATTTTAAGAAAAGACTTTTCCATCACAGAAATAGGAGATTTTATTGTGAAATACATTTTCCCATCACAATCACCAAAATACATAATTATAATTAAAAAAAAAAATCCATCTTCTAGCCAAAATGAAAAAGAAGAAAAGAGAAGTTATTGGCTGCATACCTGGAGTGGAACAAAGGATGCTGTCTGGATTGACAGAAGCCTCATAAGGAGGCGGTGGGTCATCTGGATGTTGAATATCCGGATACTTGTAAGCAGTATAGGGTGGAGGCGGATCATGGAAATGAAATGCCCCACCTTCTCCATCATCTGAAAGATGCAGTGGAGTAAGGCCAGTTCCAAAACCATCGGGACCATAATCAAAACCAGGCATCCTGCGGCCCAAATTAAAATGGTGCACTATTTCAAGAGAAGAAAAAGAGTAAGTGACTTTATCCCATGCTTTCTTCTTCAATTTAAGGGAGATCTCAACAGCTTTTTCTACTTTTCACACCCAAGGAACTCTTGTCTCCTGAAGACCTAAAAAAGTCTACATAACCTATACAAGACAACTCACTGCAGTTACACAATGATACGCAGGCCCACCTGCTCCCAGCCTGTTTGTCCTGCATCACATCTAAATTTGAATCTAACCTCTTCAAACTAAGGAGATCATTCACACATAGAAGTTACTTCAGATTTGGACCACACACACAAACAAAAAATATTTTTCCATTACCAGCTAAAAAAGTTCAAGTTTGAAGAACCTACCAAGACACACACACAGGCATAGTCAAGCAAGACCATGACACTTCTCACCTTTCCGTACAATCAATCTGTCCATAATAAGCATGAGGCACAAGGTAAGTGTTGATATCAAAGTTTTTTCTTTGAATGTGGAATGGTTCAGAGAACCAAAACTTGTACAAATCACAGCCAGTTCAGGCAGCCAGCGCAGAGCTACATTTGGGTACAGTACTGGCTGGAAACTAGAATCTATAACCAGAATTCCACTGGTGTTTTCCATAGATTTGTATTTCTTCTGCTCTTTATTCTGAAGCACATACACTACTTAAATCAAGACTAGTTACAGATACAGGCTACTTACAATTTGCTCCAATCAAAGACTCTATGCGCTCTCTCCGCCTCTGGCGTAGCCGGTGGACCATGAAAAGCAGCAGAGAGAGGATGAGGAAGGAGGAGATGCAGCTAACAATCAGACGCATTCCACCAGCCATTGAGTCAAACAAACTGTTGCCATCTGTTATATAAAAACATATAAAAGAAGCCTGTTACTTTCATTCAAGACTCATTTTTCTTGATGTTCTTCTGTCAGTAATGGAAAGATAAATGAAGCCTGGTTTAACACTTCTCCATATTTCAAAAGTGTAAGAAAATTTTGAATCATCAGGCGATTTATCTATTTATTGCAAGACGATCTAAATGTTTCTAAAAATATATTAATTGGCAGAAGGGACAAAATATTGACAGCTTCAGGTCTCTGAAAATGGGAAAAAGCAAAGGTTGATGGCATATTGCACATCCACTTGTATCCCTGGCATGGCTGACACTTATACTAAAGAGAACAGCAAGCCTGGAAGCTCAGGAAAGGCCTGAGAACTGGCATATCTACACACTATTTCTATGTGACTTCTGGACATGTTAACTTCTACATTTCCAGCAACAAAATCTCTAAACATTGTCATTATCACCAAGATGTCGTCATCTAAATTCCGTATGTCATTGGTACATTGGTTAGCATCATTAAGTGATAAGAACTAAAAATACCTTATCAACACAATAATCATCTTTCAGGAACTGAAGAGATTAAGGTAAACAGGAATTAAATCTTTTCCAAGAATTGCGGAGAAAGCATGAAACAGGAGCTTAGGACTTTGAGAGCTCTACACCGTTGCTAACCAGATCCATACTTGGAAGGCTGTTCTGAGCAAATTATAACTGTTCTATCAGTGCAAGACAGGAGAAGTATTAATTTTTCCACAATTCAACTAATCACACTTCATTATACTTAAGTAGCATGTGCACATACAGATACTGTACACAAAGAAAAATGACCTACAAATGACTGTCCTGTGTTCTTTGCACTGATTTCCCATTAAAGTTCTGAATGAGCAATGCACCCAGGCGGAGATGAGAAACAGATGAAGTGGCTGCACAACCTGGTCACCTTCTGCTACAGGACACGAGCACCACCCGGTATGAACCCCACTCCTCAGCCACCGCAGTGCTACCGCACTTCCTAGAGCAACCAGCCAGATCCTGGCCACCGCTCCTTTCCCGTGCCCACCACAGCTGCAAGAACTCTCTCAAGACTTTTCCTTTCACCCATTGCAGCTGAAGCTGTATCAAAGATTCCTTACAAAAGAAAGCTAAAAACCTCACAAAAATTCTAAGTACTGACTTGCTACAAATGCTAGTAACAGAAAAATCCATGTATTTTACACATCATTAAAGTACAGGGCTAACAGGCTGGCATTTATTACGTAACATATTCTTGGCAACAAGAAAGTCATTTAATAGCACACTATGCCTAGAGCTCAAACATTACAGCCCCTCAAATCTGGCTGCGCAGTACAAAAGCCTCTGTGCTGTCAAAACTTTCAGCAGCTCTTACTGCCAGAGTTAAAACTGATGCAGTCACACACCTACCAACCAACACACCCTCCTGAACACCACAGACCTGCTGTTGTTCCTCCTCCATTTTATGGCAATGCTGACTTCATAAGCATCATAAATTAGTACTAACAACTGCCTTAAATAAAGTGACTTAAATAAAATATACACACAGGCAAGCATGATGCAATCTTGTAGGCAGAAAGCCTGAATTCCACATACTCTCTTTAGGCCAGCTACAGCTGCAATTCTTGGACCTTCTGGGGTGCCTTAGGCCTCTATCGCACTGCTCCTAGCCTGTGAGAGCTCCTAACGTTCAACCTCTTTGGCTGGATAAAGTATTGTCATGTAAAGTCCTAGATTAAAAAAAAAGGACAAAGACCCAGCTTGTACAGAATAAGGTAAGTCATTACAGAGATTTCCAACCCACATAAACACAGTCAGTTATTTCTGAAAGGCTGTTTTACACTCAAGGCAGTAGTAATACCCTGTAACTGCACCACTTTAGTCACTAGAAGAGCTTCTGCACCATTACCTCTTTCAAAGCATTTTATTTCTTTTATTACCTTTTCACAAATAAGAGTTGCAGGTCTGTCTAAACAAGAGCCACACAGAAAAATTATTTTCTACCACATCCAGGGAGCAGCAATAGACAGGCTACCTTGGTTTCAGCATTCGCACATGAAAGATTTTCCTCTGCTATTTATCTTCAGCTAAGAAGAGGAGAAGCATCCTTCATTAGAGTATAGCTGTGATTGCTCAGCTTACTCCTACCACTGAAAAATTCCCCTACTACCAAGTCCTTGAGTAATATTCGTTATCTACTTGTAATCATTGCTCACCCACTCACACTGTGAAAGCTGATTACCTGCCAACCCAACAGCAGGATTTATTCCCCCCCAGTCTCTCCTTGGGTGATTAATTTACTTGCTGTTGATTACTAAACTGTTTTCCTTCCTTTGCAACAGAGCTTAGGGAAGATATATGTAAGAATTGGACAAAGATAAATACATGCTGATTAAAGAAAGTAATTCATTAGTTTTGTCACCTAGAACAGTCATTTCTAAACACCCAGAAGGGAAACCGAAATGCTTAATTTAAAAATTCCAGTGTTTATCACTAGCTGAAGTAACTTCATTATAAAGGAAGTTTGACAATTCTTCTCTCAAAAACTAAGTTACTAAAGAAACCAGAACACTTCAGGCAAGAGTATAATGAAACAGTCTTATTTAGCATCAGTACAGAAAAAAGAGCTTAAGGATCAGAAAGGATGTGGTAAAATACACTCTTCAAATCAGTATTCATGAAATAGTTAAGACCCACAGCAATAAGCAAGGATTAAAGAACATGGCATAAGGTTATCCCAGGTCATCTTATCCTGTCTGGTGGATGACGCTTTGCTGAGACAGTTCCTGAAGGTAAAAAAAGTGAAGACAAAGTCTTAACTCTGCTGGTAAGAGTGGGAGGAAGACTCCTGCTTTTTCCCACTCTTTCACTGACCAACCTGCAACACTAGCTACGAACATCTGTTAAGCTTAAGCCTCAGAATGAATATGAATGACAGCAAGGAGGAGCCAGTGGCCTTTAATGATTAACTTCTGCATTTAAAACACATAAGAAACACTGCAAATTTGGAACCTGAGAAGCACCCCTTTTTTGTAACAGACTGAAACAGAATCCTCTGATGGGAAGAACTGACCTTCTGTGTCTTCCATAGGAGTTCAAAACAACAATTTCTTAGTGCAGATAAGATTAGGTTCTTTTAAAATACTGGGAAATAACAGTATCACAGAATGGTTGAGGTTGCAAGTGACATCCTGAGATCATCTAGTCCAACCCCTGATCAAGCAGCATCAGCTAGAGCAGGTTGCCCAGGACAGAGTCCAACTGGGCATTGAATACCCCCACAGATGGAAGACTCCACAATCAACCTGCTCCAGTATTTGACCACCCTTACAGTAAATTCCAAATAGGATACATTTCTTTTTGCAAATCTCTTTACAGAAAAATAACCCCCCAAAATCTACATCCCCAAATGATGACTGACAAACAGTTCAGTCAGAATCAAATGTAGACTTTACCAATCCAAAACAAGAAGCTGCACCGACATGCCAAATCCAGTAAGCAAGGTTGCATGTCCTGATTCTTACTGAAACTCTGTATCATTTATAAACTTTGCTTCCCATGTGATCCCTGCACGCACACTTTCTCACAAAAATGCTCATGTCCAGAAAGAGATATTTAATTAGTGCTTAAGAGAAAAGTCTTTTCATGGCAACTGAACATGACAAAGGAATCATGCAAGACGCTCTACTAAAAATCCACAGTACTGCCAATCTCCACACAGAAGATAAGCTACTGCTTCTCCTATATAAGTAGCATCAAGGATGACTAATTATTTCTAGCCACAGTCTGAAGTGTTGTATTTCCCACGATTTCAGATCTTTCCCCACAGTGGGGTTGTACCCAGCAATGCTGAGGCATTAAAAGGACACATCATTTCAAACAAAATTATGTATTTCAAAAGATAACCAAGTTGAGCACTGAACTCATTTTTGTTGACAAAATTGTAGCAGTCAACTCTTACCTGGGTCTAAACATGTAAATTTGCAGCACTCCTTAGGGTCTTTGCGATACTGCTGACACCCCTGGGGCCGTTCACACAAAGCAGCCACACACATTTCAGGTTCACCGTTGTGACATGTGCAGCTCAAACAGGGATCGTTCCCTTTTGGAGTGAAATAGTAGCCTTCATCGACAATGTTGTCTTTGATATCAACGCAAGTCTGGCCTAAAACAGAAACGCACATCAATATCCAAGTGCCTGGGAGCCTGCCAGACAAAAGCCCAGTTTATTCTGTTACATTAAGTGATTTGTAAACATAAGTAGACCACCAGTTAAAAGCAACGCCTTCACATTAAAGCAACTTTGAAAAGGGATCTCCAAGGAGCGGGGAAGATAATGGATACTCTGGAGGCACGCAGGGATGATTTATTGCTCAAAATTGACAAAGTGCGTTCTAAGTATTTAATGGAGTTGACACACTTCCAGGCATCCTCTCCAAGACACAGGAAGGCAAGTGGTCTGAGAAGTTTAAGCTTTACTGTCAATGCCTGCTGCAGCTCTCTCCCTCTCTCCTGGTACTTAGGAAAAGCTGGATCTTCTCTGGACCAAACCTGAAGGACATTCCTAACAGGCCAGGCCTAAAAAAGGAATCCAGGCAATAGTATTCCCACTGCCCTAGCTACACCTCGATCCCTGCCCAGTGGGGGAAGTTTAGGCGTCTTCTTTCCACTGTCATTTCCTCCCACTGACTTAAAGGCAGGTACCAAAACCAGAAAGAGGGAACACAGACGGCACTGGGACCTGCCAGCTGAAGCAAGTGCTCAGGGAGGGTGGCCTGCCCCCTCCACCCTACACACAGGTGAGCTGCGAGGGTCCACAGGAAAGTTCAGACTGGAAGAGACATGAGGAGGTCTCCAGCTCAAGCTCCTGCTCAAAGCAGGATCAGCTATGACATCCCAACAGACTGCTCAGGTTTTATCTAATCTGGGCATTAAAACCTCCGAGAATAGAGGTTGCACAACCTCGCTGGGAGTCTGTTCCATCCTTGACTACCCTCACAATTAAACGGTTTTCCCTGGCATCAATTCAAATCTCTTGTTTCAACTTAACGCCCCTTGACTCCTGCCCACGCACCACTGTAAAGAGCTTGGCTCCATCTTCTTTATAACCTCCTTGTAAGTACTATCTGCTATCAGGTCTCCTGGAAGCCTTCCCTTCTCCGGGCTGAAGGAGCCCCATTCCCACTGCCTCGCCTCAAAGGACAGGCGCTTCAGCCCACACCACCATCTTGCTGGCCCCCACCGAATCTGCCTCAATTTGACAAGGTCCTGTCAATTTTCTTGCACTGCAAGGCCCGAAATTGGACACAGCATTCTTCTGCTCAACTTACACATCTGATGCCCTCACCCTCTGGTTAATATCTTGGCAGAGCTACTGCCTTTCTTACAACATCATCCCGAAAACATGACCATCTTTAGTCAAAATGATGATCAAAACACATGTCTTTCAATATTAGATTCCAAGATTTTATTACATCAAGGTAGACAAGGCAATATCCAGTCTTCCTAATTTTCAATATTTCGGGTGCAAAAGCAGGCAAAAGGGCTGAATTTTCCTCCCTTGCCATTTTGTAAGTCTTTTTCCTGCTTTAAAGAAAAGCAAACTGGAAAAACTTCAAGAACTGCAGTAAAAGTTCAACAACTTTTCTCCTTCTTGCAAAGAAGCACCATCTCTATCGGGTATCTAAAATACTACCTGGAAATAATGCTGACACCTCTGTCGGTATAAAGCCTCTCGGAGTAAAGAAATGCAAGATACGGAATGAAAGCCATTTTCTCACACTTTAAGTCAGCAGCTCCACTTGCTCCCCCCACCCAGTTCTAATAATTGGCTGGAAAGAATTTAATAGAATTTGCTATATTCAAAATAAACCAGAAATAAGTGTTTCCTCATTTTCATGTGAAGTTAATAGTTTAAGAGTGATATTTACTAGTAAGATGTTGTTGGGGTTTTTTTTTACTTCTCTTTTTCCAAGTATACCTTATTTTGGGGCTGATAAAGCTACTTAATTTTTTAGTGAAAATCTGTACTGTGGCTGACCACCACACATTATGATGCTTTTATTTATTTAAACCGAGCAGAAATCTAACTTCCCCCTACCTTTTTTTTTAATTCACTGGGCAAAAGGTAAAAAAGATAACCAACCAATTTCCCCATATTTGTTATATGCATATTTAAACACACCACACAGTTAACATTGAACTAAAACCAACTTACTCCTTTTGCAGAGGAATGAAGATTTCTCATAGCAGTTTTCAGCATACCAGCTGTGTAAACCATGGTGCCGAAGGGTAGGAAAATGGAAACACTGAAGCTGTGCACAAAGTACGTTTTCATTTTCAGACATAGCCGTACCAAAGATAGGGTCAGGGGGTAAAAATACTTCTGAAGAGCCTAGAACAAGATGCATTGGTATAAGCAGCCTGCGGGCATGCAAAGCTTTAGAAAGGCTCTGTAATGTCATTCATTTCATGCACACCAACTCTGCTACAAGGCTACTGTCCTCTAGCTTTAGCTTCCATTAGCAACATTCCTCTAGGGGAGGCAAACAGCAGGGACAGAACGGGTGAATCCCAGAGAGAAGAGGCTGCTGTTTTCAAAGTACAGGGTAATTTCGGCATTCTGCACCAGCAGGGGTGACGTTCTGGTATCTCTACAAGTGCTGCCTTCCAGGTCTCATGGGGTTTGCCTGCAAGTACTTACGTGCCCCTTCAAACAACGCTTAGTTTGGCCATGCTTGCTACTTGGTGAAGCAAGAACCTGTACCAATCTTGTACCTGGCACTCCAAGCACCTACTAGTGCCTCCAAAGATGCGTGTACATCTATCCTGTGCGGCGCGCTGCAGAGCTGCTCCCCACGTTGCATGCCACTCATTCAGAGCGCACACCAGCGCTAAGCAGAGAACAAGGCTGCGACGCAGCTTCTGCTGCTGCAGTGGTGGTATGGACTATTTGGTCCTCCCAACTACATAATTGCTAAAAGACTGTATTGTGATGGGTTCCAAACAGCGCAAGAGGTGTTGAGGGCATTTTATAACTTTTAAAATGTTGTTTCTGACCAGTATCTCGCTTCACTGTTAGATCTGCTGGTATGCAAAGTTGCAGAGATTAATGGGAGACCAACACTCAGCAATTGTGAAAATCAGCCTATTTTATATGTTTTCAGAAGCCTACTTTCCAAATCTGCGTGCAAACATTGATTTTAACAGCTCTTGCAATTCGCATGTTACACATGATATGTGTATGTTCTGATACGATGGTCCTTTTCAAACACTGTTAGCTATTTTTTTTTGTTTATTTTTTTTAAATGCAAGTAGGTTCTGCTATCATTTTTTTGAGGGCTTATCTTCCGCATCTCCCAATAATGGATTAAAGCTTACAAGTTATAGGACCCTAGATCACTTTTCAAACAGATGCTAGGAATTCAGATTCTACAAGACAATGTAGACACTACAAGTCAATGAAGCTTAAGTAAAGTTTTCAGAAGTTACTGCACGCTACTATGTACTACTATGTACTTTATTTCATCTAAGTATCCCTTTATTAAATAGAAAGCTTGCAAACTTGTAATATATGATATTGAGAAGGCTTAAACTTATATAATGCATCAAATTAAATAAAACTTAGGATAAAAGCAGGTATTATGATTTTTCAGTATGTCTCAGTGGTTGTAAACACACTGTCAGCAGATGGCAGTGCAGTCAACTTTCCAAAGAGCAAAGAAAGGTCCTTTTAAGGAGAATGTTGTGGGCTTTTTTTCTTGGGGTTCACAGGAGAAACACGCCTATATAGACACTTTTGACCAGAAATCCCTATTATGAGAAAAAGTAGGACTTTCCTCCCTTCCTTTCCCTCCTGTCCAAAGACATCTTTAGGTGCTTTTAAGGGACTACTGAAAACATTGACTGCCTCTACAAGAAGGAACAGTTTCCTCTGAATATTCAGTCAACTCTGTTCACTTAAATGACAGAAGAAACCAATACTTTTGTGCATGGCAGCACAGTAAACTAGTACTGTCATTAGAAAACTATGCAGGGTTCTACTACTCATGGGTCAAAGGAAGTATTTTTCAAGACCCAACCGTTTAGCAAAATTATGTTCATAATTATGTATCTGTACCTAATGGACAGTTTTCATTACAGATTTTCCATTACTGAAAACTGTATATGAGAAGAAAAATATTCAGATTAGCTTTCAAATGCTACACTGGAATTCACAGTGCTGATGCTTAAAAAAAACCCCACCCTTTGTTTTAAATTTGCCAGTACCTAAACCAGTACAGCATTTAGATGATCAATTCTACACATAAGAGTTTATATAATGACTTTAAGATTAACTAATCCTTCAACTGAATTAGTTAAAAGGTATAGAAACATAACTTTGCATTTTCAGCAGAGGGAGCTGCTTCTTTTGCAATTGAAAAAGTTCAGCCAGTGATGCCTATCAGATTAATGTTCAGTTTTTCATATAAACTGGGATTTATTTCTAGGATTAAGCAAATTTTGTCTTTTTTTTTAAATTAAACTATCTGAAGTGCTTTCAAATGAAAAAAATCTGGATAACTCCGCAAAACTCAAGGCTTTTAAAGTATATAAAAATCTACCGATTTTTAAGCAGCTAACCCCCCCCAAATATCCTACACTAGTCTGTGCAAATACAAGAATCATGAATCAACAGTTCATCTAGACATTCACCACAAAGAGCGAGAAACTACAAAGTAATTTCCTTTTTCACAGCTTAATCAAGGGGAATGCCCAAATAAACTAAAAACCATGTTCTTTCCACAGGATGTCAATGTGAAAAACTACGAAATTTCTTAGACTTGAAAATAAGATGTGTATCGAGTATCTTCCATCTTAATACTGTAAAGCAAAGCAGTTCCCGTACACTATTTCACATTATCACTGAGAGAAGTGATGTCATTTTTGCAAATATTATTCATGCTTTAAGATAGTTTCCGTGGGCCATTTAAGTAATAATTTGAGAGGCCTACCTTTATAAGCTACTTCCCAGTGACCTTCTAGAGAGTGATTTCGATTGGTGATCACATATTGATACCCAACCCAGAACCTAAAAAAAAAAGACAAAAGCCAAAAAACATACTAACAAAGTAAAATAAATTACACAGAACCTTCCAATACTTAAAAGCTAACTTTCAAAACATTCTGATGATTTTTTCCTTAACATTTCAGCCCATACGCTGGCAATGTAGAGAGAAAGACTACAGTTGAGGAATGAAGGAAAATACTTGATAGTTTTCTATGTTTACAAATGGTAACTCACCATGTCTTTAATTTCTATTCATAATAAGCACCTTATTCTGTTATGGCAGCACTTCAGTATCTCGGCAGCACGTCAGTATCTCGAACACGAAAACCACACAAAAGCATCCAGAAGTCAAATATTTTATAAACATATACAACTTATGTCAGACTGTTCCAGATCAAACCATCTAACTCTGCAGAGACAGAGATACACCATTACTGAACCACTCCTGGTGATTTGTCATGGCAGCCCATGAGACTGACAAAAAGCCCACAGACAAAAAAAAAAAAAGGAATTGTATTTGTTGTGAACTAACAGAATGAAATATCTAAAGCCACCAGAACATAGTTCTTGCAATTCAAAATGGCTTTACTTCATTCTTATCTCAAACTTGCAGCCTTTATTAGAGCTACTGGTACTTAATGGAAACAAAAATTCTGCTGAAAAAAATTAAAGAATTATTTCCATACAAGGTAGTGTAGCAGTACATCACTGTAAAATCCATCTTCCCTGTTGCAGTTCAAGAATACGAGCACGTCGCCGAGACAGACTGAAGATAAAAAGACACTGTCGAATTGTAGCCTATCTGTTAATGTTAATTAAAACATAAAACAGAGATGGCCACTGCCAAACAATCAACCAGCATGGTCATACTAGGTTATTAACCTGAAGTCAATTTTACCCTTAGATTTTCTAAGCAAACTGAGCTACCAGCATTTGTATCACACAGACACCACTCATGTAATATGAGATCTTTTGTCCTTTCCTTCCTACTCACCTACGCTGGTCTTTCCTCACAAATGTTTTTTCTTCCAAGTCCCACTCCTGTGCCAGGATAAACCTTAGCTCCTGGTCTGCAGTGAAGGTGGCGAGGGATCCATTCACCCGCTGACATGTCTGCACCGCATCCCAGTAGTTCTCCCCATTTAGGTACACTCTGTAACAGCTGGCTGTGCCCTCATAGTGGTGCCATCCTGTTGGGCACTTTCCTAGGAAACATGAAGAATAGAAGGGAAACCATTCCCCCCAAATTAGGATCTTCAAGATAACGTATCCTAATCAGTTTAGGACAATGCAACGCATAATCACTTGGATGTGTACACACAACGTACTGCGTATACTTCACCTCACCTCAGGAAGAGATGCATGCATTACAGATCACAGAAGGCTTACTTTACTACACCTTTTGATAAAGGAATTTTTAAAAATATATTTAAAAAGGTGCAACTCTACTTAGTAATGCTTCATTGCACTGTGACAGCCTTTAAAGTCTTTAATTAAGACTGATGATCTACTGTGGAAGATACTTCCCTGCATACCTTTATAAATCCAATCAGTTCGATAAATCAAGTCAAAACAAGCAGCAAGAAGCAGGAAGAAAAAACCAGAGGTGGCCAATTTAATGAGTCTATCTTTCTATTAGGTGGTTAGCAATACATCCAACTTGCTGTGAAGTTTTCAACCTACTTTTACAAACAAACAGTATTCACATAATCCTGCTCCCATAGTCAATCACTAAAGACTACGGGGGGTTCTGCGGCAATTGCTGTTTGCTTTGGGAAAACATTACTGCAAAATGGATCTTTAGGAAGTAAGAAGGTGATGGCGTGAACTGCTGTCTCTGCTTTCTCTCAGTTAACTCAATTGAGGGAATATGCAACAAAAGCCTTAATTCAACAGGCCCATGGGCTTTTGACTGGAATTCTTGGGGGCAATGGGTAACTAATAGAGAGAATCACAGGGACAGGCGGATGAAATTTAAAAACGCACATAAAATATGATTTTACCACCTGCATTTGCAGTATTAATTTTGCACAACACCCAAGAAAGGAACTTCAAATTCACAAACTGTTTTATGTTCATTGCATGCATTCAGAGTTCCTGTTCTCAAGCCTCTTTATTTCCTTCAGAAACAGTGGCCTTTATCATCAAATAATGATATACAAACTTAGATTTTAAGCCCTTTAATTAAGTATTTGTCCTTATTCTCCATTTATATGGAATCTTTTAAGATCCACTGTTCACACCACTAAGATGAGACAGAATACAGAATCAATCAGACTGCAGAGCATATTAGATATTGCTGTATCAATTTCTAAATTGCTTTATTGTCCTCTATAAAATCTTACTAACATAACTTAGCTACTGGAATCCACGACAGGTCAAAATACCTATTTTAATAAGCATTTTTGTCCTAAAAACAAACAAAAAAAAAACCAAATAGGTGAGTTTTTACTTTTGCTTATCACTTGTCTTTTTCAGAAGATCACCATAGTCCAAAGCAATCATTCCCAATTACTGCCATACTGTCTTCCCCACATATCCTCTTCCCAACCCCCCATGTCCCATCCCTCCCTCCAAGGCTAATCAGTGCTGTCTCATATTCCCAAATCCCTGGATGATCCCTGGAGCAAAAAGGGAATCAAGATAAATTGGTTGATAAGGGAGAAGGCAGGGGAGACTTAGATGTTTTGGGACTGGAGGGATTCAGAGGCAACAGTCACTGTGAGCTACAATCAGCGGGAAGGACATTTGCAGAACATTTATAATGCTTTAGATAAGGCTGGGACGAGGATGCCGACAGTGGCACTAGCAGTGCTGCAGCTGAGAGGGTAGGATGACATTGAAGTGATATTTTTGAAGAATCCTGACTGATTGATGGGAGTAACATGGCAAAACGCATTCAAGTGCTACATACTTCCTTGACAGACATCATCTTCAGAGAAGAATTTCCTTAAGTTCCCCATGCCCTAAAGAATACTTTTCCTATCAAAAAGGATACAAAACTCACAACATCAGAGATGCACTTAATTAACTAATAATAATGCAGTGTCTTTAAGATCATCTCCAAAATTACTTCAATCAAAAGCAATCAATTTTGTTTTCCCCCCATTTTCCAGGGGAACAAACCTACATGCAAGCTCACATAAAGAGACAAGGGCTAGATTATCTATCCCACTGCAGGCTGAAACCATCAATTAAACCATGGGTTTAGTTTTCTGTAATTGCAATGAGTTGTAAAAGAAAATTGCAACTCTGGTTTCACAAAAATGGGATTACTAGGGAAGTAGAATTCCTTGCACATATTGGCCTGCTATATAAACTACGCAATATAACAGGGCATATATAAAAGAAATGTACAAAAACCTTAAAAAAATCACATTAATAAAACCTGGTCAGAAAGCTATGCAAGGAAAAAAATCTATTAATTTCTCCTTAAAAAAAAAGCCTAAATTACTAAATTAGTTAGAAGAAAGATGGCCCAGATTTCCCAGTCTGCAACTTACTGCTAAATCGGACAGGCTGTGCCACATTGACAGTGTGAAAGCGGGTTGTCTCTCCTCCTCTCCCTCGATTGTGCCTGGAGTCCACATTCTCCTTCCCATGGTAAGTTCGCTGGTCCCCTGTCAAGCCTGGGGACCAGAAGGAACAGTCAGTAGTGGTGAAAAAAACGCAAGCAAAGGCAGATTTCATTTTATTAAACGTTCTCTGGGTTTTAATTCAAGACATATAGTAAGTAACCTAGTCAGGTGAACAAAGCTGATAGATCCCTGCAATAGCAGCTTGGCCATTTTACACAGTACGTAACCAAAATATCTACAACTGAAAAGAACCAACAAGCCATTACACAAGTCTTGCAGAGTAAGCTAAATATTTTGGCAGACTCTCAACAGCCTGCAGTTGTATACAAGACTTGATGCTCATCATTTCGATTGCTGCAGCAAATACATCATCTCCAAGTGCATTTTACCCATTCCTGTTTACAGAACTACCCACTCTCCAACTGCTTCATTTCTCAGTTGTGCGTTCAAGGATGTAAGACAACTTCTCCAATACATCTTCCAACACATTCTCCAAGATCTGGGACAAAATTAAAACCACGAAAGGAAACCTATCTTTAGCCAGAAGAACGAGTTTTTTCATTCACTCTCAAGCTTCTAAAGGAAACAATAGTTCATTATTTCTGAAACAAAAAAAAAATACATCCTTATCCCAGGGTCAGGGCTTCTAAAAGGCATACGTGACAACTGGATTCAGTAACTTAGGAAGAACGCAGTGCAAGGTATTATCCCAGAAAAGGGGCTGGGAGGGGCTCCACATGTCTTCCAGTAGTAAATAAGGAGCACACAGTTCAGGCAGAGATGCTGCAGGATGAGCCATAGCCAGCAAAACTAGCAAAATCTTAAGTAGGAAGGCTGGCATGGCGGTGGGGAGAAACCTTTGAGAAAGACAGAGATGAGCACCAAGAAAGTTTAATCTGGAAACAAGGGATTAACCTTAAAAAGGGAAAAATTAAGAACCCAAGAATGTAAGCATTAGAAATATCTACTAATATGTTATTTAATACTACCAGATGTTACCAGATTTTAACCAGCACAAAGAGCTATGCAGACATTCATTTCTACATTAAAAAATCAGCTTATTTTCCTTTAAAGCTGATTAGCTCTATTTAGCCTAGCTAAACCAAATAAACCAGTCATGGTCCCAAATAAAGAGGAACTACATAGTCTTCTTCAACAGGTTTAACTGTTGAAGAAGAAATGTTTTCGAACCTTTGTCAATAAAGCTTCCTCCTTTCAGACTATCTTTAAAAAGCAAGAAGTCCACAGCAATTTCACGATAACTTAAACACAGAGTTGGAGACTGTTCGGTGTATTACCTGAGGGGAAAGACCTACAGAAGATCCACCATCAAACAATGCGCTCCTTGGAACAAATGTTAGTACCAATGAGAAAAAAAAAAAAAAATCTCACTTGCTGGAGCCCAGGAATAGCAGAGTAGCTTTGCATTCATCTGGCTCTAGCATACTGAGTTTGCCCTGGGTTAATGGGATAAGCAAGGGATATTTAATTATCATGTTATCCTAGGAATTACATGTCTATAGAGATCACCCATTAAGAAATCACTGTGCATAATACACTCATATGGCTTTACAGAAATAAAGTAGTGATTCTACTTTCAATATTAGAATACACTATTTATCACAGGCAAGAAGTTAGTGCCAAGAAATTCAGTTACCACGCATTTCAAAGGACACAAAATGGTAAAATAATTTGACAGTGAAGATCACTGAATATTTTTTATTACTTTAAAGACCAATTTATTTTTGGTTTTAGAATTTGACTGTTCTTAATCCTGATGATCCCATAGCAGTATTTACACTATGCTTTTCAGAGCGATATTGAGGCACTAAAAACACAAATCTTTAATTATAGTAAGATGGTAAAAATAACACTAAAGTAGAATGTTTTATCGAAGATGAACTGAGCTCAGCACGGGAAGCTCTATTTTTCCATGGCATTAAATGGTAACAACTAAACCCAAAGAACTGGTAAGAACCAAACGCACAAAGAATTAGTTCCCTTTCAGAGCAGATGCAACACCATATGGCTGACCTTCCATGGCTAAACAGAACGCCCACGAGGACTTAACAATTTACCTCCCCTGGGAATAAAACAGAAGTTCACAGGTTTTAACATGTGAGGTTAAGAAAGAGTTACTTGGGCTAAAATCTTAAATTGACAGAATTTATGCCAGATGCTTTGAAAAACAGCTACACAGATCCCACACAAAGCAAGTTCAATCAGTCCTCACCCAGGAAGCAGGACACTCATTCCTTCCTCAGCATCTGCCCGTGTCAGCAGACTCACCGCTGAAACCAGGCAGGGCTGAAGAGGCAGAAAGCAGCCACCACAAGTCACTTCTCCTTCAAGCCCAACATTGTCAGCTGCTTAATAAACTGGAGCTTTTCAAATATCAAATTACTTCTGTTTGACCTGAATTTTCAGTCTCTGAGAAAAGCAAGGACGACAAGTTTTTCCAGGGCAATAAAGAAAGCAATGCTAACAAGCCTAAGTCACTTGACTGCCATGAAAAGCCACTGCAGATTCTGGTGGCAAAGGTGTAATTGGACTGGGCTTCTATTCTACTTTTTCAATACTCTGCAGAAGAATTTTCTATGTACCTTGCTGTTGCTGCTTCCTTTATAAAAATATTTTTATCTTCATAAATAAAGTAAGAGTGCCATGGACTAAGCTTTAAGATAACAACCTAAGCCAGAAGATCACAACCTAACCATGTTTGAGTGTTTCAGAAAGGGAAAGCCATCATTTTTGCTGCAGGTGTCCATACTTAATATTCTGAAAGTGAACAAAAACCCAAGTAGTGCAAATGGAATGTGAGCTGAGACCACACAAGTGTGAGAACTGGCACCACCTGAGGCAGGAACAGGCTGGAACATTACACATGCCGAACAGCACCGCATGGGGGAACAAACACAACACCGAATGGAAAACTGCATTCAGACGAGCTAGAAGAGAAACTGCCATCTACCACACATGCCGAGGTCTGCTTTGCACCAAGAAAAGGGCAGGTGGACAGAAAACTGCCTGTAATATAGAGAGGTCCTGGTAGGGTCAGGACTCATAAAAGGGTGAATATTGGGATTTGGGGAGTTGAACTGGTTTCTAGAGTTGTTGTGTGACAGATACACCAAACTCTTCACAAGGGTGGATGTCCTATGTCAAATTACGCCAGAATTAAACTGTTTGTGAAGCAGCCAGGTCTTGCCGTATATTATTTGTTCCAAGATTTGGGTTGCTCCTGTTTAAACACACAGATTCCCAAAATTTACATTAAAAGCTGACTTGACCCCTAAGCTTCAAATTTTCTGTCCCGCATATTACCTGGTAAAAGCTTGGAGAGCTTTTAATTCCATCTGGTAATTTGAGCAGAGAGAATTTCAGGATTAAATCCAGTTTTGTGCAGCTCCACACTTTGCATTATCAACATATTATGCTAGGAAATAGATATCAACCAAGAACAGCATCATGCTGATGATGTGCATGTTGGTGTGCATGTTATTCCATGTAACAGTAAAGAGCTTAACACCACAAAATAGGGTAAATAGGATGCGTTATACAGGAGTTCAGCAAGGGCTCAGGAAAGGTGTGAAAACGATCTGAGATTTTTATTATTATCTAGCTTTAAAAAAGGAGATGTACTAAAAAGCACACAAATGTCAACACTCACTTCAGCCAAACACAATATCCTTGGCAAAACAAAACACAAAGCTGTTTATGATCACTGCAAAACAGTGTGCTGCAGCCGATGCTTTACCAGTTACTGGCCATACCTTCAGCTGGCTCCACAAAGCAGACTTTGCAGACTCAAAGATGATATAGTGTGTATGTACTAAGGCAAGTGACCTCCAAGTCTGCACATTTCTTCCTGATACAGTATCTGGGTAAGTCCTTAAGAACAGCATACAAGATGACGTTGTTCAAGATCAGCATCTGCAGTTAGCTTCCTAGCAAGATTGTTTCTGTATGAAATTAGGCTCCCAACCTCAGCATAAAAACATGTAAAAAATCATTCTGTTTGCCATGGAACTGCAGGGCAGCTCATACTACTTACTTCTGCTAGGCACTGTTTGCAACTGCTCACCAGGATGGCCAGCGGTCCAGTGTCGATTGTGGCCTCAGGCTCAGAGGGGAAAAAACCCCCTAAGAATTCATCTCGTTGAAACTTTACAGTGTTCTTGTTTCTGACCAAGTAGGTCTAGAAAACAGTACTGAGATATACCTTCTAAAAGAAGAATGTGGCATTAGGCAAGGGTGTGCATTACAGGGTGAGCTGAAGGTTTTCAAATTCAGATGCTGGGAGAAGTCCAAGGACAGATGACAGCACAATCTGATCACTTATTCCTGGGACAAACTCTTTTTTTTTTTTTTTTAATAAATAAACAAAGGAAGGAAACAGAATGATCAACAATATAATTGCAAGCTGCAAGACTGGTATCAACAAGATTTATAAAAGGCACTGGAATTTAAGAAATCCATTCTCTGTTCATACATAACAGAAACAAACATCAAGCCTGTAGCATAAGATTAAAACATAGGTAAACAGCCAGAGCTATACTAAAACCTGCTCCACTCGTACTGCTGAAAATGAGTTTTGACCGAAAGGCCTGCAGAGAAGGTAGCATATTTGGAGGGGCTGCTCCAATATTCTTGTAGAAGCAAAGCTGAAAATCCAATGAGCAGTAAAAGGCAAACTGCAGAGCCGTTCCTTCTTATGGGTTTAAATACAGAATTATGTAACTACTTTCATTACTTGTATAGAAACCTAAGAGGAAGTGACTAGCAACAATAAATTCCCATTTGTAAAAAGCCCATGTTTAAGATATTAATGCCTGTTTCTACCATTTCACAGAATACACCACTTTGGGACAAACTATTTTTAGGATCAGTTACTGTTGATATGGAACTGCACACAAATGTCATGAGTCTCCACTGCTTAAGAAGAGAGTTGCAAGCAGATGCTACATAAACCCTCCCAGCAATTTTTAGGATGCTCACAAGAGCAAGCAGCCGACAGTTTTAGTTCTGATCAGTTTTAGTCTGATTGTCAATGAATTAATGTCTTACCTAATTGTGTTCTGAAAACAATGCCAGAAGAAATTATTCTAAAACCAAAGTCTTAGGGATTGGGGTGTTTCTAGTACTTCAGGTAACACACGATTCCCAACTAATTTATTAATTAATGATCCTCTTATTTTAATAGGAGCTTTGTTACTAACATGAATGAAACTAGGCCTAAAAAAGGTGAACTAAACCAACAGTGCAAATAAATAGCTTTGTATCAAACCTTTGAAAATACCAACATGACTAAGTAGTCACTGAAACACACTTTCGTCACCACCACAAAACCCTAATTCACGGCCATTGATCTTTTCCGAGTTGCTCATGTTGGAGTGTGCCATTAGTAGCTCTAAGGCTGAAAAGTAACAAGCTTCTCCACCAGATTCAGAGCCTTTTCTTGCAAGCTTTCTTTTCATGCTTCAGAGAGTTTTCATACCTTTTAATTTAAAGATATTTTAATTCTCCAAGTTTCACAAGTCCAGGTGGCTTCACTAACTAGTTCTTTTAGTGTTCAGTCTGCTTTTATTGAAGTTAAGAACCTTAATTAAAAAGTATTTAAATTTAGCTGAATCATCTCATTATTGCTCATCTAAATTCAAAGGTATTTTCTAAAGTTAAAGCTGCATCATTTCTTCTTAATTCAGCGGCCAAAGAAGAAACTTATCACTCCTGAGTATGACTATGTGCTACTAGTATTACTACTATTAGCTCCCCAGTCAACATCCCAGGACTTAGTCTCTCCTATGACTGGTCAAATATGTATTGCTTTCCACAACGTAAGAAAACTGTGCTCTTCCACACTTATTCTAGCCTCAGATTTACTTTCATTCATGCTATTTCTTTTTATACTCCAACACACCATTCATATGCACACCAACTTGCCCTTATTCTTGACAGTTCTGAGTAACACATGGCCTTCAACATTCATTTCATGTCACAACACTATCGCACCAAACTTTTGTTACAGGTATAATAGAGTTTTTATATCCTACACCAGTAGTTCTTGTTCCTCTGGTTTGCTGGCTACACTGCTTGCATTACTGTGCAAATATCTCAGTTCTTTCATAAATGCCACACCCAGCATTCTGGCTGTTTTACTGAGCACAGCCTTTTCACCAATTACTTATCCAATTACTCTTCCCTTCGAATGGAATACTTTCCTTCTCTGTGCTGTCCATCATTTTCCCCTCTAGTATTCTTTATGTATGTTATTCTCCTCTTCCTGCATACAGGCATGGCAATGAATCAAGTCTCTCTCATGCATCTCCTTTTGTTTCTTAAGGTTTTTCTCATCATGTCAGGCCAGACAGTCCAATGAGACACCCCAAACACAAAAGCAGAGCCTATCTACTGACAAATATTACTTTCATAAAATCCTCTTCCTAGCCATATACCAAATATTCTTTGTAACTCCAGTCCTTAAGTGAAAGATCCTGCTGCATCCTCCATACAACAACTTAAATTGCTGACTAATACACAAGGCAAAAAGAAGATAAAAATACTGTTTCCTACTAATATGGATTTTCTAATATTCCCGTAAGTGAAGCCTTCAGTGCTGTTTGAGTAAATCCAAACACTGGCTCCTGTAAACATACGATTAAAAGTTTATGAAGAGTAAATACACCAGCTTGTTTGGCAGAACAAAGTTCTCCACTTAAGCACATGAAGCATAATCTGAACAGGGAGCAATAAAACAAGCACTCTACCTAAGTCCAACGGTGTCACAGTTTGAGTGATATACTCGTACAACCAAAACAGTAATTCCAATTTAACCTCAGGCCTATGTGTCATTTTAGTTTAATTGCAACATGATTTTTTCCTTGTCATGAAAGTCTTTTTAGACTACAAACTCTCCTCACCTCCAGCATGACCTACTCAGACACTAAGAATGGAAGAGTAATTCAGACAAGCGAAAAACTGTTTGGAGCATTAGCTGCACAAAATGAAGGGAAGACAACTCAAGGTTGGTTAATAAGGGGTACATTTCTACCAAACAATCTCCACTTTCAAATAAAAATAAGCAAGTGACCTTAAAAAGAAGAGTCAAAATATTGCTGCAAAACAAGTCAACACTGGTATGAACAGCCTTCTCAGCTTTACTTACCTGGACAGTCAACTTCATCACTCTCATCCTCACAGGTGGGCCACCCATCACACTGCCAATTTGAAGGGATGCACTGGATGGTACCACTCCGACAGGCAAACTGCCCTGGGGTGCAGCGGAGCTCTAAGAAAGAAGAAAGTTGTGCTTTGTTTGAAGTGTTACTTATGCTTGTAAATCTATACATAGATCAGTTGTCTGTCATGTAACATACTGCTGAAGTGCAATGGACAAAAGCTCTGGATAACTCAGCCTGTTAAAAACTCCTTAATTTCAGATCACTCCCATGCTTTGAACTGCATGTTTGTGGTATTAATAGACAGGAGGGCCTGCTTCCAGTGCTTGGGAAAGAATTCTGTCAGGCATCTATAGTTAAAACTTCCTAACAAAGATACCATGTAAGGAGCTATCACCACAGCATTACCCATTTACTTCACAGAATCACTAAGGTTGGAAAGGACCTTCAAGATCATCAAGTCCAACCGCTAACTCAACGCCATCATGCCCCCTAAACCATGTCCTTAAGTGCCACATCCACACGTTTTTTGAACACCTCCAGAGATGGCGACTCCACCACCTCCCTGGGCAGCCTGTTCCAATGCCTGACCACCCTCTCAGTGAAGAAATTTTTCCTAATATCCAATCTAAACCTCCCCTGGTGCAACTTGAGGCCGTTTCCTCTTGTCCTATCACTAGTTACTTGGGAGAAGAGACCAACACCCACCTCGCCACAACCCCCTTTCAGGTGGCTGTAGAGAGCGATAAGGTCTCCCCTCAGCCTCATCTTCTCCAGACTGAACAACCCCAGTTCCCTCAGCCGCTCCTCGTAAGACTTGTGCTCCAGACTCCTCACCAGCTTCGTTGCCCTTCTCTGGACACGCTCAAGCACCTCAGCATCCTTCTTGTAGTGAGGGGTCCAAAACTGAACACAG